TGGCGCGCGCGGCCGCGCTGCACCACCACGTTTCGCCAATGCACCCCAAGCCCGCGGGCGCTGCCAAAAAGCACAGAGGCCCTGGCCACGGGCTGACTCCTTGCCTTTCTTTGCAGGGACCATCCCTAGACCTCCGGCGCCTCGAGAAACTAGGTGCGGAATTTGTTCGCCGTTTTTTGCCTCTTGGGGCCTTCCAGGGGCCCTGGGGGTGTCAACTAACGAGTCAAGATCAAGAGCTGGCCCTGGGGAGCAAGTTCTTTGACTTTCGGAGACCCCGTATTGAAAATGGCATGACGTCGGATGTCTGGATTGCGATCTGCTGGATGCGATGCCCTTCGTCCTTCTCCTCAGGGTCTGTGTCGTCGGTCCTTGGATGGGTTTAGAGGTGCTCGGTCGGCTTCGCTGGTTTATGCACGATTTCCTATCTCGGGATGCGTTCAAACAGCCGCACCTCCCGGAGCTGCCTGGATCGCCCCGAACGGTCGCCAGAGGCTCATGCTATGGCCCGAACGCTGGGACCAGGGTCAATTTCGATCCGATGGATCCGACTCGGTACCCATCGGTCGTTAAAAGTACAGTCGGCCCGGATTAGTAGGTCGACCCTGCCAAATCAAGGGTGCCCTCGCGTCCTGTGTTTCGCGACCAACGCCCCCTACATTCCTGTGGCAATGTGGCCCTCGGAAGGGTCTTGTGTCCTCTCGCGTGTCCTCTCCAATCCAATCCGACTGTAGGTATGTTGGCATTCCCAGGTTTACTTAGGAGCCTTCCTACTTGAGTGGCCTCATCGTTTCCATCCTCCTTAGGGGGCGGACGGAACCCAAACTACTTTCAATGCCTTCGTAATTCAGTGTTCTACCTACTTCCTCCGACCAATCCGGTAGCGGTTTCGGCCAGCACGATCTGGCGTGACGCCGATGTGCCGACAGTCTCCAACGTTGATTGCCCGATGTGTCCAGGGCGCCGTCTGTGTGTAGCCTCGTGCGGTCGACTTGAGAATCGATGCCGATTCCGTGCCCATGTGTCCCAATTCGTCACACATTCGATTCTACAGTGGAACCGCATGACATCACGGTTTGAGGTCCACGTTGGCTAATCTGTATTTTGTTTGGTTCCCCGAGCCCGGTTTTGGACGAGGACTGCGCATGATCCCCCAGCTGGGGAAATAAACATTTACCGATGAAATGCCGCTTTCTCCTGACCTTCCAAAGTCTGATCGAGTCCTAAGGGTGCGCAGCTTCCCAAGGGTATCATTTCATCCTTGGGTCTTCGGCCCCTCCTCAGCCATCATCGCTGTCCATTCTCGTTCAAACGGCTTCAACTCCAGCGTCCAGAGTCTTTGCGTTCTCGCCGCGCATCTCTCTGATCCTGCCGTGTTGTATTTTCCCGCTTCTGGTGTTCCTCATTCTCTTTTTTCTCTTGCTTCGTCTCGTTTCCTCTTTTGCGTGTCGTGCTTTGAGAACGAGATATCCGACGACATGTTTGCTCCATCTCAGGGTATGTCTTTGGTTTCGGTCTCTCGGGGCCGCTATCGGGCGCCAGGACTATCAAGCACTGATCCGAGACAAGCAGCTTGCCCCTAGCGAAGGGGTCGGGACCTCACGGTCTGCGCAACGAACAAGTGCACATCGTCAGATATCCTGGGATCAGCCTCTTTCGAAAAGAGCGGGTGCCCAGGCTGGAAATTGCCAGTTGTGATCTCCATCGCTCATCACCCAGCAGAACCCACTCGCTGAGATGGCAGATCCCTGCCCCGACCATGTGCACTACCTGGTAGACCCGGCCGGCAGAGAGCGTGGTGCGCCTCTGCCACGCCGAGCTCCGGCTCGTCAGCTTGAACCCGGGCTGTTGGAGACGTTTTCGCATGGTCTAGCGGAAACCCGGGTCACCAGGTCCGCGCACCCACTTCGGAGGGGGGAGAAGCGATACCAGCATCACCAGGGGGCCCACCTCCAGCGAGGAGGTCCACAATGCCTCCCCGAGCGGGAGACTGGGGATGTCTCGGGCGAGAGGGGGGGACCGCACCACCAGGGAGTCTCCCCTTGCCTCCGCGCATCTCCTCGCCCTGTTGGTGTTCGTGCGCCGTCCCTTGTTCCTACCCGTACGCACACTTTCGATCGCCTGACCTCGTCGGTTGCGCAGGTCCGAGGGGTGTTCGCAGCACTGGTGCGCGCGGGCACACATGGGGTTGCCCATGCATGCATGTATGCATACATACATACATGCAGCCAAACATACATACATGCACGCATACATCAATACATGCATATATGCATACATGCATACATACGTACATACATACGTGCATGCATCCACATCTGCATACGTACATGCATACACGCATACAAACACACACACACACCGGCATACACATACACATACCTATTACACCCATACGTACATGTACACACAAACATGCATACGTACATGCATATGTATACACACATACATACATACATACATCCATCCATCCATCCATCCATCCATCCATCCATCCATACATACATACATACATACATACATACATACATACATACATACATATACATACATACATTTATTCATACACGCATACATAGATGCATGCATACATACATGAACTCATGCGTACATACATACATATATACATGCATGCATGCATGTATACATACGCACATACGTGCATGCATGCGTGTATACATACATGCATACACAAGTACGTACGTACATACATCCATACACCTATGTAGATATCATTGCCAGGGCCATGACATCTCCCACACTCCGTGGCCCCCTTATTGTCGCAATGCGCTCCCTGGCCTCCCCCGCACATGCCTCGGCCCATGGTGCGCGGACTCCGATCTCCCTGGCCACCACCCTCTTCAGCGCATCCGACTTATTGTCAAGTCGGGCCTGTCCCTCTACAGGAGGAATATTCAAAAGAGAATTCATAGTCCGGGGCGATGTTTTGACTATTGTTGACCTTGTTGAACTTGTCTGGACCTTTTTCAATTGTTCGTCCATAATCCGCCGGTGGGGGGACATGCCCGACCTAAACCTATTGGAAGCACTCCGCGCACCGACACCCGATGTCTTGGCTCTTTCGTGACGTGGGCTACTGGAGCTCTCAACCCCTTTCCCCGTGGACCGGTTGCACATCCTGAGTCGTTTTTTGGCAGGTCGTAGGGCCAGGAGAGGGCTGGGATGCTGGTTTTGCAACGTTTTCGCACCGGGCGTGTTCGCTCTGTGTCGAGCCCCGGGACCCTCACAGATCGATGCGGCTTCGACAGAGGACGCAGACAGGCGGGGTCCAGGGCTCCCGTGGTGATTTGTGCCGACGCCGCAATTTGTTTTCCAACGTCGGATCTCAGGGGAAATGGCTTAAGTCGGGCCTGTCCCTCTACAGGAGGAACATCCAAAATCCAAAGTAGTTAAAAGATAAGATGGGGACGATGTTTCGATTTTTAGATCGTTCTTCTTGATTGAAAATATCTTCCAAGATCCGCCTGTATGTGGACATGCCCGACCTGAGAGAAGGACATGCCCGACCTGAGAGAAGGCCCCCGCAGCGATCTTTTCACGTTGCTTGGGTCGTCAGACTCGGGTTTGCTCGCAAAGCCTCGGGCCAGTCTCAGGAGGGGAAAAAACACACAGACACAATTAATCGTAGATTCCCAGAAAATATGGGAAAGTATGGGAAGCGGGGGGGAAGACAAAAACCCAGAAAATATAGGAAAATATGGGGAATGTTTTTATTTGTGTGTATTCATTTGTGTGTCCTGGGGCCCCTTCACAGGCATCCGCCCTGGCCGCTCTGGAGCAGCCCGAGCGCGCCGGCACCGGCGGCCCGCTCTCTGCTGGCCCCTCGTCCCGGCGGTGGCTCGAGACTATCACGGCGGCGCCGCCGGACGGCGCCGGGCTGGCCCTGCTCGGGAGCCTCGAGACGGGGGTCAGTGCAGACGGGGGTCAGCCAGAGCGCCAGATCTTCCAGGATCCTGCAGCGCCGGGGTCGCATTGACCCGGGTTTGGGTGCAGGATCCTGCAGGATCCTTCGCATTGACCTGGGTTTGGGTGCAGGATCTTGCAGGATTTTGCAGGCCTGATTGACCCGGGTCTGCATTGACCCGGGTCAGAAGATCCCCGACCTGCGGTGATGGGCCTGTTTTCCATCACCAGTTCCATAAGTTGGAGGGGGAAGGAGATGGAGGAAGAGGAGGAGTCGGGGCTGGACAGAACCCCCAACAGTGACACGTCGATTAGTGAATTGTCCGTTTTCGGTTCTCGAGAGGGCGCCGCGGCCCTTATTTTCCAGGCTTGCGCCCGCCAGGTTTGGGCCTCAGGTCGTTTTCACTAAACCACGTTTTACTAAAGGGGGGTCTGTCCATCCCCGGAGGAGGACCCCCTCCCCCTCTTACTTATGGTGGTGCTGGTGTAAGACAGGCCCACTATGCGGGGGGTTTTCGGGGCAACGTTAGGGAGGGATGGGCTCGGTCGGGGGGTATAGGGAGTCCTCAGCAGTTTCTTCTATTGTTTTTCGGAGAAGAAGAAACGCCATATTCACAAAATCTTTTGGCGCTCCGCGCGGATTTCTTGGATCGGCGCCTCGGGCCCCCTGGCGGCGCCTCCGGCGCCGCCCCTGGCGCGCTCCGCGCGCCATGGAGGGGGGTTCCGGCGCAGATCCGAGAAATTCGCGCGGAGCGCCAAAAGTGTATGTTTATGCGTTTTTCTGTTTCTATCTTCAGCAGTTTTCGGTTGTTTTCCTGATAGTTCCTTGGAACCAGGGTGAACTGCATCAGCTGCGCCTCGCTCAGTGTTCGGGGGGGGGGGCCAGGATCGTCCGAACGGCCGCTTGTCGACGATGCATTGGCGATGTGCATCCGATTCGAGGTCTTTGCTCCTCCTCCTCCTCCTCCTCCTCCTCCTTCTCCTCCTCCTCCTCCTCCTCCTTCTCCTCCTCCTCCTCCCCTGCGCCGGCCCCCCCCCAGCCTGTCGTGCCCCCTCTGGAGGGGGGGGGGGGGCGCCGCATGGCCCTGCCGCCGGGCTGGACGAGGTGCGCGGGCGGCCGTGCTGCTGTCTTGTTCTGGCGGTCGGCGATCGATCCATGCCTCAATCGGGGGCCCCCAAACGGGGCTGTGACCGCACCGTGCGGTGAGTCGGTGGGGATTCGGGGTCACCGCACGGTTTTGGGACTCGAGTCCCTCTCCGAGGACGGCTCGGGCGACTGGGGCCTCCGGGGTCCCAAGACCGTGCGGTGACGGGCCGTGCGGTGTGTCACCGCACCGTTTCGGGACTCCAAACTCAAGCAGTGGCGAAGCGTCCAGGCGTGCCTATGGCCCACCAAAGAATGCTCTAATAACCTTTTGTGGTCTGCACGAAAGGGACTGACTGGCTGGGACTGTTCGGGCTGGGACTGACTTGTTTGAACACATCGGGTTTATGTTCTAAGAACATTTTGTTCTTAGAACATTTTGGGGTTTCAAGAACATTCCGTGGAAGGCCTACAGAAATGCCGGGACGGTCGGTCCTTGCTCATCTGTGCTGCTGTTTTTTCCAGGTCGGCGATCGATCCATGCGCCTGCGGCTGCCCCCCGTCTCTGGGCGCCCAGGCGCTGGGCAGGGCGCGGATCAGAAGGCGCGGGCCCAGATGCCAGATTCTGCTTCACGTGCCGGCCCCCGTGGCGGCCCCGCAGAGGTGGAGCGTCGGCCACGTGAGCGGCGCAGACAGGACGGGGTCCTCTGTGCCGACATGGGCGCGTGAGCTGCGCGCGTAAGCTCGCGCGTCAGCGAGTTCGCTCTCGATGTGGCGTGCCGCGCGGCTGGCCCGCGCAAGCCACCGCGCGGGGGCGCTATGTCATCTCGCCTAAGACCCGTCTTCGATCCTGGCTCGCACGTTTTTCCTTCAGACGCCAGCAGGGCTGGTTGCATTGAGGTGGAGAGGGGGGCGTGGCTGGCGAGGTCCTGAGGGAAACGTGGTTTCCTTGCAAGTCGAGGCTCGCCTGCACGCCGTTTCGGGTCGGCATTGTCTCCACGGGCGGCGGATCGGGCGGGGGGCGTTGCAAACTGTGCTCTTCCCCAGATCTCCAGCGTGTTGGCAAACGTTAGGACGGAGGTTTGCAGTTTTCTGCCGTTTGGGGCAGTTTTCGGGTTTCGCAGCCGTCAACAAACGAACCGGAACAAGGAACGATCCCCAAGGGAAGGGGTCCAGATTTCTAGGGCACGCAGATTGAAGACATCACGACATCAGATGTTTGCGGTTGCAGGGCTCATTCCGTTCGGTTTGATCCAATTGAATCTTGTGTTGGCCAGCACGATCCGATTCGATCTCGATGTTGCGAACATACGATGCTGCCCGATTCTCGCGCGGCCGGATGCCTTCCCACGCAGCCGATCCGAGCCGATTCCCTCCCCGTGCCGATACAGCACGATCCGACGCACACATTTCCATGCGATTCGATGTCCCGAGTCGAGGCTGGCCGCTCTTGAGCAGGAGCGCCTCGTGCGAGGAGGGCGGCCGTCCGAAAAGACAGGGGGGGCTTCTCTCAAGCAGGCGCAGGATGAAGAGAAATCGCTGATGGGCCCATTTTCCACCGCCGCTACCAGATGCAGGAGAGGGAGGAGGAGGAGGAGGAGGAGGAGGAGGAGGAGGAGGAGGAGGAGGAGGAGGAGGAGGAGGACCTCCTCATCCTCCCTTCTCCCCCGACCTACATATGGTAGGGGTGGTTGAAAATTTGCCCATCAATCGCTCCAGCTGGCCACGCGCAGAGGGGGGTAGGGGGAGGGGTGAAAGGCTTCTTGGAAGCACCCCCGCTTCTTAGAAGGCGTGGGCCTTGTCTGGAGGTGTAGGGCCGGCGCTTTCTAAGAAGCAGCCTCTTCCTAAGAAGCCTTGCTCCCTCCCCCTACCCCCTTCTGCGCGCCGCCAAAGACAGGGGAGCTTGGATGAAGATACATCGCTCCAGGGCGTTCTGGAACGCGCCAAGAGCGCTCGGAAGCGCTCCAGAGCCTGGGGAAAGAGTCGGGACTTTCGACGATCGCGTACTAGGAAAACAGGGTCTCGGACGTCCTGGTTCTAGGTCTAGGTGGGGCCATTCTGGGCCGCTCCTCGGCTCCTCCCCTGGAGAACCTGTTCGCGGCCGAGGCTCGCCGTGGCCAGAGGAGCAGCCTCCTCCTTCTTTACTCAGCGCCACCCGTGACAGCACGATGAGAGTACGTCGCCCAGGCAGGGTCGCGACGTCCCGGCCGGCTCGGCCAACGCCCAGCTGCGCCCATGAGATTCGCGCCCCCCGCGGCTCATTGGGCAGGCCCATGACGAAAACACATCGCTCGAGAGCGCTCCAGGACGCGCTGGAATGGCCGTTGGCGCCCGATACATCGTCCAGACACACTGGATCTTGACATATCCTCATCCGAGTGTGTCCTTGTCCTGCCTTCGTCTTGGTTCGATCCCTCAGCCATGCTTCTACAACGCTCAAGAAGGCAGTCTAGCCCCACGGCTGCTCGACATAATCAAGGTCGTCCTATCCCATCTCATTGTCCGCCCCTCGAAGCACCTCGCCGAGAGGTACACCACCGACGACGGGAGGGAGTATTTCCACAACGGCTCCACCAATGCCACGCAGTGGGAGACCCCCGGCGGGGCCAGGCAGAGTGGTCGATTTATGGTTCATGGAGGAGAGGAGGAGGAGGAGGAGGAGGAGGAGGAGGAGGAGGAAAAGGAAAAGGGAGGAGGGAGGAGGAGGAGGAGGAGGAGGAGGAGGAGGAGGAGGAGGAGGAGGAGGAGGAGGAGGAGCAGGAGGAGGAGGAGGAGGAGGAGAGGGAGGAGAGGGAGGAGAGGGAGGAGAGGGAGGAGAGGGAGGAGGGATGAGGAGGAGTGGCTGGGGCTGGCTCCACCTGCTTCCCCGACCCCCGCGGCCCGTTCGCCGTGCTCCTGCTCGGCCCCTGGGGCTGGCCTCCGCCCCCCGTGCCCCGGGGGGGAAGGAGGGCCGAGCACGTGCTCTGGCACGAGGGCGGCAAGGAGGGGGGTGATGACTAGGTGGGGGTGGACATCATGGCGTGGGCCATGATATCTCCCCAGATTTCATGGCGCCCCTTCTTATTTCATTACGTTCTCTGGCCCCCCCGCTGGGCCGCGCACATGCCGCCGGTCATGATTTGCACCACCCCCCTCTTGGACACCCCCCTCTTGGCCGCTCCCGATCTGGCACGAGGGGGCCTTCAGCTCTCAGGACTTATCGTCTCCCAGCAGCCCTCCTGCTCGCAGCTCGAGCGCAGGGCGCGGGGGATGCCGCGGACGGCACTCCCGCACGCTGCGGAGGCTCACCGACCCCGCTTTTTGTGTCGGCAGGGCCCCTGCCCTGGGCGCTCCGCCTGCCCGCAGCTCGCTCTCCATGGCACCGCTCGGGCGTGGGCACTTTTTCGGCCGGCGCGGGCCATCGAGGAGCCTCCCCGGGTCATCTGGCAGAACGGGCACGCTCGAGACCCAAAACATGCGCGGGGACCGGATCCCCGAGCGATGACCAGTCGCCGCTGCCGCCCTCGTCTGCTCCCCGCCCCCGGTGCGGTGCATGCTTCGACATTCTGCAACCCCCGCCTCAGCTCTCCCGCGCTGCGAGCTCAACACGTCGCTCAAGAACAAGAACAATAACAATAACAATAAGAGCAGTTAATCATAATATTGTCAATAATGATAACAATAATGAGAAGAAGAAGTGTGAAGGACCCCGTCCTGAAGGACCCGCCGTTGGGACCAGCAGTCGCCGCGCCTCGCGACGCCTACCCTCTGCGCTCGCGCCGCCTTTGCTCGTGGGTGGGGGGCATGAGCGACGCAAAAGGCAAGGCGCCTTGATCGCCGCATGCGACCTCAACGACGGCATGGGCATTACATCCAAGGGGCCCAACCACAATCGCCAGCTTTGGGACAAGGGCGTACGCGAGAAAGCATAGGACAGAAGGCCAGTCTAATCGTTGATAATAGAATAACGGCTTAACGGTGCTAGATACATTGGGCAAATGGAGACTTACATTGTTCGGCGAGAACGGCGCGAGGTGCATCGACTACGTCATGACACCGCAAGTTGCCGCCAGAGCTGGCGAACAGCAGGGTCTTGCAACGCCCACTACTATGCATGCGCACACGCCCACTACAGATTCCCTGCCGAGAACACTGAGATCACGTACCGGTCCAGGCTACGTGACGGCTGCCGCTACGACCACGAGTTCGGCAACAAAAATGCCAAAATGGGGCGGACACGGATTAATACGAGCATTCAGACAATGATGCATTAGGGGCGAGTTCAATCGCGACAGTGAGGAGGACGTGAAGCAGTACGAGCCATCAGGGGCACATGCATATGCGCTTTTCCACGACATCAGCGGGGTGATCACAACGCAGGCGCAGAAGTTTTACTAACCCCAACCGGCAACCATCTACGAAGGATTGATGTTTAAACGCGTGGACGTAATCAGAAGGAGACGAGATGGGCGAGAATAGCTACGAACGCGTGGACTAAATTGCACGAGCAAGATCTACGCAGACAGCCCCGGAGAAGCCGGGGTGGAGTAGATCAGGGGAACTAACGCAGAGGCTAAACGCCAGAAAACACCGACCTCGCCGCTGCAATCCCCCAGGTCTCGGACGGAGCCAGGCCGGGGCCCGCTGCCGAGAACCTCCCGGGAGCCCAGACGAGTCAAGAGGGCCAGAGGGACAGAGGAAGGAATGGCCCCTGCGCCGAAGAGGGGGGACATGCGCAGACAGAGCTCAGCGAGACTGAGATCGCACTAGTGAGGTAAAGCAGGAGCCCGAGCAGATCACCAAGCTGTGCGCAGAGCTGAGGAACTAGAACTACCGGCATAATATAGACGCCAGGGTCGAGGAGCTGCCCCAGGCATGGGAGGACTGAGATCTCGCAAGGGCAGGGCGAATATCGCGACTCATCGCCGGGCGGCAGTCGCCGCGAACCCGCTCAAGCAAGAGTGGACCGATTTCTGGAAACTACTGGGAGGTGAAGGAGGCGTGCGTGGCACGGAGCAGAACGAGGATGAGTTGGAAAATATCCCAGACTCGGCAGAAGAAAGAGCTTACAACGATAATGACTCGCAGGATCATGTGGAGGCAGACTACGCGGAGATTGCGAAGAGCCTGGAGAAGGCAAAACTACGCAGGGCGGCCCCGCGGAAGGCAGCGCCGTCGGAATTCTGGCGACTGCTATTGCGCCGCCAGCCTGACCCGCGGCAGCAGCAACGACAGGGGCTCGGAGCCGAACGAGAATTAGAACAATTTGAAAACTTCGAGGTCGTGTTCTTCGCCGCGCTGGCAGCGATGGGAATCGGCGACGTCGCGCCGGTGAGATGTCACCCATGCGCTGCGACAGCGGTGCGGGGGGGCGCGAAGAATGGCCCCCGCGTGCAGGATTATCCGCAGCATCATGCATGGGCCCTATCGGCAAGGCGCACTACTCGGCATGTACGTGGACGACGCCAGGCAATCTGCGCAGCGGCCAGGATTTCGGTCTCGTCAGAAGGCGACGGCGAGAAGGCGCTACGCTGATCGTGGCAGTGGTGGAAATACAGGGCGAGGCAGACAGGCGGGAACTACGCGTTCACGCTGAAAGACATGTCGCGTGCCCTCGCGAGCTCCTCGCGGCGAACCATGGTCGTGGCCAACAGCGAGATCATGCGGGGAGACCTTGGTGAACGAAGGCATCGCCGAGCCGCGCTCAACATGCCGTGCAGGGACACAGACAAACGGGCATGCATCAAACCGCAATGCAGCGGATCCCTAAGTGCCCCCATGCCTGGCCAGCTATTTCGCTGCGAGCTTCGCGACTGCAAAGAAGTGTCGTGGCCGACGGCCTCTTGCACGGCCAGAGCAAGTTCCCCCGGCGCCCAATATATCTGGGCCTCGCCAAGTGCGCAGACTACCTCGGGAAGCTGATCTTAGGAGACTGCGACGCGGGCGCGCACGAGCTGGTCGACACTGCAAGAATGGAAGGCGAGGGGCTCAACGAGAGGCTGGAAGAGATCGGAATGCGACAGAACCCTGGCAAGCAGGATCACATATTGCATGCGCAGTGCTTCGACGCCGCCGAGGCGCGCCGCGACCGCAGGGTGCCGTGCCAAGTGTTTGAGGCAGCGCGCTACCTGGGCCACCAGATCAGCGACGCAGAGCTACAATACAGTGCGGAGCACCAGAAGCGCACTTGGCCATGGGGGAGTCGCCGCGGACGCGGGCGCTTCTGGGCGGAGGCTGGAGCCCCTGCTCAGGTGGGTGCGCGCGCTGCTGATCTGGAGGGTCATCGGCGCCGGCTTCTCGCGCGCCGAGTGCCCCCGCCCGATCCCGCGCGAGCGCCAGCAGCTGCGGGGCGCGATGGGCGCGCCCCTTCAAAGCGCTACGAGAGGTGGACCAACTACTCGCCGCGAATACAGCAGACCACCTCGGGGCTCTTTCGCAACTGGCAAATCTTGCCGCTCGGAAGCGCTGGCCCGCTGATTTGGCCGGGCAAAAACAGGGCGCCCTGAGATTCCCGGATTCGCCGCCAGCTGGTCGCAGCGACGCGCGGCCGAATCGACTTCGAGAGAAAAGGCGGAGATGTCGCGACCGATGAGTTCCAGAACGACGCGAAACCGCAGGCCCGAAGGCTCGCGAAAGATTTCGAGCGCGCTTGCGAGTTTCCGGAGAGCTTGCGCGCGACGCTCGGCGACGATACGTTGATCGGCAAGTTTTCCACGCAGCGCGCAGGAGAGCAACGACATCTACTAGGCGCCCGAGAAGTAAGGTCAGCTCAGCAAGTAGCGGCAGCGCCACCCGCCAGGAACAGGACAACGCGATGAACTGCGAGAGGCCCAAGGTGGAGGAGGCTGAGCGCGCATTTCTGCCCGCGAGCAAAAATGCGCAGCACAGTCGCATCGCGCGGAACCACCATGCACATTAGCTAGCAGCAGTGCGCACATCACACAGCGAGGGCATTACTTGCGGAGAAGTATACACGAGCAGAGGCACAGCGTGGAAGAGTCTGTCGGGGGTCATGGCGGACAGGATACTGCCGCCAGGACAGCGCGAGGCACCAATGCCTGCCATGGCCCCGCGCGCCGAGATGTATTGGAGAAAAGGGGGTAGTTTCAAACGTGCGCGCGCGCTCTTGCCGGGGCAGCTGTTGCAGCCTCATGGGCACGGTGGCGCCGTTCGATGGGGGGCCATCGTGCGCGCGCTTGCGCTTTGGGGGAGGGGGGGGGGGGGGGGGGGCGCCCGGCGGAGGGGCCGGCGCGCCGAGGCCGAAGTGGGCGGCGGCGGCGACGGGGGGGCGGCGGCAGCGCCCAGCGACCTGCGAGGGACCTCTCGGCGCGCTCGGCGCTCGCGTCGACGCGCGAGAAAGAGTGGCCGACGACCTCGGAAGTGCGAAAGGAGATGGAGATGGCGGACTCCAACATTGATCGGAACGCGACAGCGGCAAGGGCAACAATGACTCGAAGCAGGACCTGCGAAGGGCTGGCGAAGGAGAACAGGCCGACGCGGCGACCCCCGGCAGCCCGCGCGCGAAGACGCGGGCGAACGCGGCGATCCAGTCGGGGCGCAACCAGGAGAGGACGTCGTGATGAAGCAGGGCTTAGAGAAGTACATCAGGTGACTATCAGTGGCAGCGCGGGGTGGAAGACCCCGTCACCGGAGCGAAGCGCAGCGTGGGTGAGGCCGGCGGGGGAGCGGAGGAAGGCTGGTTCCAGATGAAACATCAGCACGAGGTCACCATTGCGAGCCAGCCAAGGATAGGGAAAAAGGAAGCGGTGCCGCGGGGGTCTTTAGAGCGGGGGCAGGGCAGGCTGATCAACCGATGAGGGCTCGGGCAGAACGAGGTGAGGCCGCAGAGGCCGCTGCGCAGTGCGTGCAGCATCGCTCTGTCCCGCCGAGGGCATCCACCATGCTCGGGCGAGAGTTTTCCAAACGAGCGCTCGCTCTTGCGAACTAGTGCAGAATGGTGGACCCCCTCGTCCACAGCAGGACGCCCCAGAGATGTTCCAGCTCCCGTGCCCGATTTGTTTGGCATATGTTTTACGATGCGCCGACCCAACCCCCCGCGAACCGAAACGAAACGGGCGGGGGAGAGGGGGCCAGGGCAGTGGCGGGGAGAGGAGGGCATCCGCAATCGCAGGTGCTATTCTGCCCGTGGACCCCTGCGCGGGGAAGTCCGCGCAGGTAGGGCCAGGGCGCCGCGTGGCGCAAGCGACCCCTGTTCAGCGAAGTGACCACAGCAAGGGTATTCTAGATCTTTCAGTGCAGGTCAGCTCCATCCGAGGGGGAGTAGCATCGAACTGGCCCAAGTGCTCGGTAGATCGATCCTCCTCCTCCTCCTCCTCCTCGTCCTCCTCCAGGAGGGGCGAACAGGCATGCAGTGGCCAACGGGCTCCCCGCAAGTGATGCTGTTCCGGGATGTCCCCACCCGAAAGCGCGAGACGGGATCCCCGGTGAGCACTGGGCCCCTTTGGCCTGGCGCGCGCAGGTGCTGTAAACGAAGCGCCGTTTTCGGTTTTGGGCCCTGGGGTCGTCACAGCGAGACCCAGGATGAGGAACCGGTCCTTGGAAAAGGGGGTCGTCTGCTGCCGGCGTGGTGCGAGCAATGAAGACGGCGTGGGGGGTCTGGGGCCGAGGGCTCCGAGAGCTTCCATCCGTGGCTCGGCCTTCTCTCCACTGTTTCAGGGGTGGCCACGGGCGGCATCTCCCGCGCCAGACGGCCGGCCACCGCCCGTCTGCCGGTGAGGCGGGGGGAAGTTTTGCGGCGTTGGTGTTGGGGGGGACAGCCCCCCTTGACGTCAAGGGAGGGTAGCAACCTCCCCGACCCCGACACGTGGCGTTTCATAGATGGCCCTGGGCGTTTGCTAAATAGCCCTGCCCTGTGAAGTTCGATTCCTTCCTTGGGTGTTTACTGCACGGTTTCGCTTCTCGGGGTGTTTATCATGGGGGGGGGTTCTGCTCTCGACATGGAAAAGCTGACTTCCTAATCTCCCGTGCGCCCATCCTCGCAGGTGCGCGTCCTGTTTCGTATCCCTTTCCTCCCTCCTCCTCGTCCTGTTCCTCCTCCTCCTCCTCCTGCTCCCCCTTCCTTGCTCTTGCTTTTTCCTCCATGGTGTTCGATGCTGCGGACATTGGTACCATCCACGTAGCGCTGCCGTCCCCCCCCCCGCCGCCTTTGCTGCTGACGGGGGCGGCTGGACAGCAAAATCTCCTCCTCATGAGGACATGTGGGCATTTGAACGACCAAGGAAAACGGGTTCGTCTGTGCCGACGTTGCCGTCGTTTCCAGTGTAGCGTGCCGCAATGGCGGCCCGCGTGCCCCGCGGCGTCGGGTCGCTATGCCATCTCGCGTCAGACCCTTCTTCTTGTTGTCGTTCACGTGGGCACGTGGACGATTGATGGCAATGTCGCAAGTGCGCGACTCCGCAGCAAAAGACGCTACATGGCAGCAACTACGCTGCACCGCAACACGCGCGGTGAATCCTCACTTGGGCGCTAAACCATCGCCAGAGGAAAAGGTATTGCCCCCCCCAGCCACATCCCGTCTCTCCCTTCCCTGCTCCTCACACCACCTCCTTTTCCTCTTCCTCCCCTTCCTCCCCCTCGTCCTCTTCCTCCTGCTCCCCCCCCCGCTCCCTTTCTCCTCCTCCTCCTCCTCCTCCTGCTCCTCCCTCCTCCTCCTCCTCCTCCTCCTCCTCCTCCTCCTCCTCTTCCGCTCCTCCTCCTCTTCTTCCTCCTCCTTCTCCTCCTCGGCCTCCTCCTCCTCTCCTCCTCCTCCTCCTCCTCCTCCTCTCCTCCTCCTCCTCCTCCTCTCCTCCTCCTCCTCCTCCTCCTCCCCCTCCTTCTCCTCGTCCTCCTCCCTCCTCCTTTTCCTCCTCCTCCTCCTCCTCCTCCTCCTCCTCCTCTTCCTCCTCCTCTTCCCTTCCTCCTCCTCCTCTCTCCTCCTTCTCCTCTTCCTCCTCCTCCTCCTCTTTCTCCTCCTCCTCCTCCTCCTTTTCCTCTTCCTCAACCTCCTCCTCCCCAGC